ATTTGTAAGTTGCTTTCATTTTGCATGTTTTTACTTGACTGGAGTGCTCTTAAACGAAATTTCGTGGCTCTGTGAACAGTCACAATAAAAATTCAATTCTACTCTGTTCTATTTCAGGGACTACTCAACAAGTGGATTCCACTGCTACACCAAAGAACAAATCATGAGTTGACAAATGAATATGTGCAGCATGCAGACATAGCATTAGAATGGATAAGAGGCCTTTTGATCATGATGTGACTGTTGGTGCCACATATGGTGGTTCTTGCAAAACTCATGTTCTCTTGACACGGTTCTGGAGGCAAAACTGGGTCCTACCCGGTACTAGCTAGGCATTCCTAATAAAGTGGGCACTAAGTGTACAGTTGGGTATTTTAAAGAAATGATTCAACACTGTGTTTTGGGTACAATGTCATCCCATCTGGTAGCTTGAATCACCTGACTGGGGCATGTTTGGCTGGAGTTCTCGGTGCTCATATTCCTGACATCATCAGCTGGGCCAAGCCTAGGTTAAAACTCTTATTCGCTGCATCTGGTCATTGACTTGGATGCAAGACAAAATGTGCAGCAACATATCTGAAGCTGAAGAAGTCATTTTAAGGCGCGATTAGGCAGTTGCATCAAATATAAGTCATCAAAATTTTCAGAGAAGGATACTCACTTTAAGCTACAATACATAAACCCTTTTTTACTTCTAAAAACACTATTTTGTGAGATTGCATAGCAAAGGTTAGCTGGACAGTAGGAACAAACGCCATGGCGAAATGAAAATCATCCATGGCAAAAATAGCCAAAAGACATGAGTTCTTGTTTCCAGCAGTGAAGGATCCTGAAGACTCTCTTGTGGTCCCTTAATCCTCTCAGAAGTTCAGATAAAAAACAATGAGATCAGAGGTATTCTGAATGTTAATTTTCATCTGAAGGCTGTCACTGCTTCCATTCAGTAGTGGTCACTGAATTTTGAACTCAAGTTAATTAGACATTGTGGCTCTCAAAAACACATGAAGTTTATCACTCATGCTAATGCAATCTAATTATAGTTCATTATTAAAAGTCTTAATACATTATTCATGTTAAGGCTGCAAACAAGCAAAACTCTGAACTGAGCGGCCAAACCATTAACTCTGGGTGTATGGGTGTGGCAGCACTTGGTGAATAGGGCAGCATTGTACACTGTGTTAACTGGCCCGGTTTCAACTTTTTTTCCTGATATAGCTATGAAATTATGTTCTACCACACTGAAAGTTACATTAGTAAGTTTGTTGTTTCGCATGCAATCATCTGAACTACGCCACCGACCTGCCAGTTATGTAATGGCTTGCAGTTCTACAGTTTATTGTAGGAATATTCCACATTTTGCTATGAAATACACCAGTATTCGGGGCTGTCTTCTACTACTATTACATATTACTGATCAGCCATAAGATTAAAACCACTGACAGGTGAAGTGAATGCCTGGTGTCATTATACATTAGGCAAGTGAACAGTAAACTCTACAAGTTGGAAGATGTGTTGGAAGCGGGAGAAATGGACAAGCGTAAGGATCTGAGCGACGCTGACAAGGGCCAAACTGTGATGGCTAGACGCCCGAGTCAGAGCATCTGCAAAACAACAGGTCTTGTGGGATGTTCCCAGTATGAGGGGTCAGCACCTACCAAAACTGGTGCAAAGAAGGCCAACCGGTGAACTGGCGATAGGGTCATGGACACCCAAGGATCACAGATGTGCATGGAGAGCGAAGGCTGGCCTGTCTGTCTTGTTATCTTGATAAACATGTTAATGTTAGGTTTGGTAAAAAGGTGTCAGAGGAGCTTAGCGAGTGTGGGGCTGCGGAGCTGCAGATCGGACAGGATGGCCATGCTGATTCCTGTCCACGGCCGAAAGCGCCTATAATGGGCATGTCTGCATCAGAACTGGACCATGGACCAATGGAAGAAGGTGGCCTGGTCTGGTGAGTCACGTTTCCTGTTACATCATGCGGACGGCCGGGTGTGTGGCGTCATTTACCTGGGGAAGAGATGGCACCAGGATGCACTATGGGAAGAAGGCAAGTCCACAGAGGCAGAGTGAGGCTCTCTGCAATGTTCTGCTGGGAAACCTCAGGTCCTGGCATTCATGCACACGTTACCTTGACATGCACCGCCTACCTAAACATTGCTGCAGATCAGGTTCACCCCCGTCATGGATGGTGCACCCTGCCACACTGCGAAAGTGTTCCGGAATGGTGAAGGTACATAAAAAAGAGGTGTTCACTTGCCCTCCAAATTCCCCAGACCTCAAACCCACTGAGCATCTGTGAGATGTGATGGACAGAAGTCCATGCAGGCCCCACCTCAGGTTACAGGACTTAAAGGGTCTCTTGCAGGGGCATCAGAAGGACATGGATACCCTGACAGATTCAGGGGGGCAAGCAGTTTTCAGTGGCCCTCAAATACACAAAATTATATAATGTAACGGGGCGGAGGGGGCCCAAGGTGACATTTTGTCAGGGGGTCCAGAATGTCTAGCTACTCCCGAGACCTCTTTCTAACGTCTTCTGGTACCATATACCACAGGACACTTTCAGAAGGTCTTGGGGAGTCCATACCTCGATGGGTCAGAGCTGTTTGGCTGACATGAGGGGGACCAACATAATATTAGGCAGGTGGTTTTAATGTCATAGCTGATCAGTGCACATACATATCTTTAAAAAGAGCCCAGATATGATATTAATGGGCCACTGAACATTCATTTCACAACTCAAAGCAATGATGAGCTAAAATTAGTATCTGTTGACAAACCTATGGCACTGCCCAGATGTCCTACAATGTCTGTCTAATCATTGCATTGTAACTAAGTGCTCTATGAATGGTCTGAAACACTGGCAGCATTTCGGTGTAAGCAGATCAACCTAATTCTCACTTTTTTCACAGTGAAACACTGTGTAGTCATCTTTGCTGAGTGTGGAGAGGTAGATGGAGCAGCTATGGATGGATGGATGGACTTCCAGTGGATACAATGATTATGATGATCTTTAGGTCTCACAATAAAACAGGTCACGGCGGGAAATTTATGTGTCCAATAACCTCTCTAGTTTGTATTACGCTTATTTCAAGCAACTTCTGATGACCTTCAAGTTCCTGAAATAGGTGTCAGCCTTCTTATTGGCGCCAAGGGTTTGATGATATTCTGCTGAACCTGGTTTTATAAATGATTTGTCCTCTCCAGGTCAAAAAACCTGTGTTAGCTGAAGCAGTGTGTCTAACTGGCCCTTAGTAAGTGCCTGTGAGTGGTGGCCCTGAGAGGGACAAGTCCTCAGTCCACGGCGTCTCCTGCCTTGGTCCTGTGTTTCCTGGAATGGGCTTCTGGCTACTCGCAACCCTATACTCAACAAAAAGTTATAGGAAATGGATGGTTGGGCAACTTCACTTTATGAACGTATATTACCTTGAGAAAATAATAGCTATGCCCATTGTTATAATTCCGAATGAATGTCATTATTAAAAAGGCATTAATTACCGCTTAGATGGAGATAAGTCATAATGCAAACTAGAGGCGGTGCACCTCCCTCGTGACCCCCGATTAGACGGTAAATATAAGACGTCCCAGAAGCACGCCTGCTGTGGTGAGATTGACTGTGCATCTGTAATAAATTGAGATTCCACAAAAGTGCTGAAATTGTTAGTTAAAGTCTACCTTAAATTTTACATCTGGGATTTTGTTGATCATTTTGGGCCACAGGGACAGTGACTCACAATGCGGCGATATCCAGTGATTTGTTTGGGGATCCTTCTCCGTCTTGTTTTTGCCGTTTCAGGTAAGCAGTTGTTGGTATTAAAATGAGACCTTTCAAGGTGTACAGGCTCCACCATTTGATGTCTGGTGCTCTATTACCATCATTCAAATGTGAAACTGGTGTGTAGAAAATCCAGAACTGCTTATGGACGTTTGGTAAATTGATGATGACCTTATATTTAAAAATACATTCCTGCTCTTAGCAACAACTCAAAAAGGTTATTAAATATAACTCTTCAATATGGTTGGTATCTTTGCAAAAATCTCCAATGATTGAGCTATTGGTAAATAGGAAAGAGATTTCTTTGACAGACAGTTGATGTTGCTGACATTTGCACTGTCTGGATCTGATGATAATGTAATGCTTTTATTAACTTTATTACTTAAAAGTAACAAAAATATTGATACTAATTTCTTCTTTGGCATATTAGCACCTGATTCTGCTGTTAGAATTTGGAAAAATCTGTTTTATTCAGCTTGCTCTCCAGTACTGCTCCACCTCTTTCAACATACATGACAATAGCAAAGTAGATGTATATTTGGCTACGGTTAATATTTATTTATAAACGTGTTTTTAGACTCGTGTGCAGATATACAGATATGCAGCGTTAGAGTGATGATACAGGATAATGATTTAATAAAATCATAATCCTGCAGCCCTGCAACTACCTAAACCACTGGATGATTGATGGACTGACAAAATCAGCATACAAAACATTCATATTGCAAAAGTGACATAATCTATACATACACTGTAGTATAGTATAGTATCCACTACTATACTGCTAAAACAGTACATTGCTCTGTGTTCAGGGTACAAAGTGTTTTTGTATGTGCCTATTTCAAAAGACACTGTCTGTGTATTTATATGCTCTCCCTGTGTTGTTCTTTAATTAAGTATTTAAGTAATCATTTAGTTATTCGCATCCTGACAAACTTAGACTGATTTAAATCTATATTATTTCAATAATATTAATTCATAACGTAACTGGCATACAAAACACTAAGAACGGTGCTAAATGACAATGTTCTAGAATTATATTCTTCATTCTTCTACACCAGGGGTGGGCAATCTTATCTGCACAGGGCCAGTGTGTATGTGGGTAATTAGATTACTAATTAGAGGACTGATTGGCTGAAGAGTCCTCACACCTGGGTTTGAACTGCTGACCTACAGGTTATCCCAAAAACCAGCATACACACCGGCCCTTTGCGGATAAGATTGGCCACCGCTGTTCTACACCATTGAATCTTTCAAACATTCGCTCCAATTTGTAATAGTGAATACTTGATGAAAACAAAAGACATATGATGAGGTTCAAGTACCTATTTATGAGAAGATTAATGAAATATAGCATGAGAAGTCAAAGTCAGAGCTGCACTGAGGTAGGTCTATGTACTGTGACACCTTTCCATTAAGCCATAATCTACCTTCTGTCAGCAGAGGGCCTCCCAGAACGTCGTCTTCAAGCATCAAGCTCCAGAATTCCCATCCAGACTCAAGAAAATGAAGAATATAGAGCTTTTGTGCTCTCTATGAAGATCACCAACAGCATCTACAACCAATCACTTGAAGACCACAACTCAGATGATTACGTGAAGCTCTCAGGTGACGTTAGAAACTTGGTAAGAATCTAATTCAGTCCTTGAGATCAGTTACAGACATAGATAAATTACAAAATAACACATTCAATCAAATTGTTTTCTGGATATAATAAATATAGCTAGTCTTCTTCAATAGCTTAGAAATTTTGTATTGAAGGTGGTAGTGGGCTGATCCAAACCAGTAATTGAACACTGGTCTCTTTGTTATGTTTCAGTTCCAACAGATCTTTGGCTGTTTGGAATGTGCCACCTATCAGACTTACAAAGGTGTTGCAGACATAACCTTCAGGTATCTCTGTTATGTCATTATGTCTGTTGCACATGGTGGGATGAAGGACGTGGGAGCAGGAGTCAGAGCAAACAAAACAGGATTTATTTTAAAAAAAAAAACAAAAGGGAACAGGCATGAACACAACTGGATTGCAGGGGATCACAAATCAGGAAGAACACACAGGCAAACAGGAGAGGCAATATTAGGGTACAACTTCAAAGAGAGGCTTAAGAAACACAGAACTGGGAAGCACTTTTATACCAAGACTAATGAGGGAGCAAACAAGAGGCAGCTGGAGTGAGTAACATAAGGGTAGGAATGAGAGTGAAGACAAACGCTGAACAGGCGTAGCTTGTCAGGTCCACGCTAGGGAAAAAACAGGAGGGGCAGGTAGGCGTGACGTTATGATGTCACTATACTCTATACTTTCATAGTGTCATAGCAGATACATTTTATTTACTATAACCTACATTAATTTTTTTTGTAAACCCCTGCTATAATTAATTCACTGAATTCTGCTTTTGTTCTTATTTTCTATATGCATCGATTACATATCCGCTTAACTTGATCATCATCTCTAATTATTAATTATTGCTATAAATGGAAGAAAGTCCAGTATAGCATTAGGGACAAGAACATCCACACTCTACCCATTGTCCTGCTATATGGACTAATCTGCTAGGTTGGAAATATATATATTTTTACTAGTAGAAAGTGGGCACCAGCCTGAGTGATCGGAACTGGATAAGGACAAGAACTAAAATGTGACAAAGTGTAAATATCCAGTAAAATTTAATTTCTTCTCTTTGTTCTGTTTTCAGCAATGGATCAGTGATCACAGATTCCACACTGGTGTTCAACACTATGTTCCTGATCAATGGTGACATTATCAAGAATATATTTTATGATGCAATACAGACTGGTTCTCTAAATACCAGTATCAGTGTGAACCCTACATATACAAATTGTAAGACTTCATTTGTATTTTGCCCATTTAATATGAATTTATATCTCTATCAAAAATTGCTGGATTAAAAGCAGTGAATGACAGAGATGCAATTTGTCTGTATTTTTGTTTCTAACACTGAACTGTGTTTCCTCTGCACCGACCTGCCAGCTGCAGTTACGGTTCCTGTACCAGTGATGACAACTACTCCACAGCCCACTACCACCTCCCTTTCAGTATTTACAACTTACCAAAGTGTACATAGTACCACCCAGTATTACCCAGATATTTCTTCCAGTACTCATGATAGTGATCTAAGCAAAGTAACTAGCCCATCACACAATACACCTGATTCTACATACACAAGCACCCCTGACCCTATAACTGACACAGCTACAACTCTGTCAGGCCATGTTACTAATAGACTAAATAGTTCATCCACCACATCATCAAAAAATAATAGTGAATTTACACACAGCACCAGCCATGTTACTAACGAACCAAATAATTCAGCCACAACTTTGTCAGAAAGTACTACTGATTCTACAGATACTGCAACTAGTCCTCTGTCAAGCCATGCTACTATATCGGAAAATACTACTGACTTCTCAAAGAATACAAAGAGTCCTCCATTGATCATTACTAGTCATACAACAAGAGGTTCATCGAAGACAGATTCATCTACTTTTTGGAGCACAGTTAATCCACACCATAACACAACCGCAATGTCTTGGCATTCATCAAGCCATACCGACATTCCACCCAAACCATCCACAAATGTCACCTCACCCCACAACCACAGCCATATCATTATATTGTCCACCACAAAGCCCAAAAACGGATCTGCAATGGCCAGTTCCAGCTATGATGGAGTTCCAGGCTGGGGTATCGCCCTGCTGGTGCTGGCCTCTGTGATCCTGCTTCTCCTCCTCATATTCTTCATCCTCGCGGTGAGTCCTGCCGATTATGTCGCCAGGCACTGATTGGCTGTGCCCTGCCTCGGAACATATCTCACCACAGTGTGCTGCACCTCCCCAGCTCTGGCACTGGTGCTGTCACCGGGAGGAGACTGGCCTCATAAATGTGACTGGAAGCCCAAAACCCTACGACAGAGAGCCCAGCGCCCCTGAATTTCTAACAATGGATCCCTATCAAAAGATCTACGTAAGACACTCACACCAGGCTTCTCTAATCTGTGTAGGACCCTGGAAAAGTGTTTTTGGTATTTTCCTTGGGTATTTGGTATTTTCTTTATGGTTCCAAAAGCATTTTAATTATCATGTAGGGCTTTTTCGGAATGAAACCCTTCCTTCAGTCCATCAAATCATTAAATATGTCTGGCCATTAATGAAAATATTAATGCTGTGGTCGGTGATTCAAAAAATATCTGGAATTCAAGATTTGAATTGTTATAGGATCAGAACGATGTCATTTGGATTCAGTCCAACAAAGACAAACTACAGGACCATAAAGTTACTTATGATAGCATCTTGATATGAGCCCAAAACCAGATTATTTCAAATTTTAGGCTAATTTTCTAGTATTTGTTGGCCTGGATTTGTCTGGGTAATTTGCTCCTAATTTCTTTTAGCTTTGTAGAGCCATCTCAGTAATTATCAAAGGGATCTTTAATCCACACTCAGTCAAATTGATTTTACAGGGAAATTGAAGTTCCTTTTGACACAGTTGCCCCTTTTAATCTATTCCAAATTTCCCTGTAGCCGGAGGATTTCGATAAACCCAAGAAAAACCGAACTGGGATGTATGTAGTCAACCCCTGACCACATGCTTGCTGGTAAGAAAACTGTGTTACGTTTGGTCATTTTGAGTCTATTCCAGATCAACAAATGGTATTCAGTATTGCAGAGATGTGTGACTGTGTTTATACAGAACAGCATATTCAGGAAAACTCACTTAGTGACACCTATAAATAGCAATGGTCCTGTGGCTTAATGAGCAAACAGGGATCAACAATAGTGAGGCTTTACCTTCAGCTTCAGCCCCAGAAATGGACAGGAACCGACTCGGATCGTGAGCCGGATCTGCAAAGACCAAAAACATCACACAATGCAGCCTAATCTAGATAAATCCTCACTGTATCCATTGTTCATAAGGCATCTCATTCATGCATCTGTCACTATTTGTCATTCAGTCTTAATCCTTAGCTTGGAAAAGTAATGCTGTTACAGGCCAGCGTGAGAAAACAGCAGCATCAGTGAATGCTGACTTTAACTTCATAGTTACTTATACTCTGTAGTACAGCATATAGAATGCTATTTGGTTATTATCATAAAAAATGTTTTGTTTTACATTACATAAGAGCTTTGAATAAACATGAAAATGTGCACTTCCAGCCTTCATCCCAGTATTTATCTTGGGCTGAGTTGCTGGGAATGCAAATTGCATGTATTATAATATTATGGCAAGTAATAATATGAAGGGATGGGTAGATCTGGTCATTTTAAAAGAAGACAAAATTGAACGTCTCTCAAAAATCTGGAAACCTCATGTTCAGTTAGGACCTTAAATCACACAGGGTCCAGTGATATACTAACATCTTCCTGGCTTCTTGGTTCCATATCACCCTATGATACTGTGCTGACGACTGGCTTTAGGGTCACTCTATTTCAGGCACCGACTAATTTTGTATTTGCTTTCTATTTCCCATGCAGACTCAAGTTGTTGAAGATCAAACAGAGCACACAGGCACTTCAGTCTCGCCTGAATGAAGGGGGGGGGGGGGGACAGGCTGCACTAACCATCGCCGCCAGACGGACCGAGACTCCAGATCCTATCGTTCTCCAGTCTTATTGTTCTCTTTGTCTTGTCGAGAATGATGCACTTGGTGCTGAACTTGACCGTGCGTTGGCTGCACGTGATTGTACTCTCACCCGCTGGCTAAGCCTTTCCTAATGACGTTTGGTGACAACAAACACATGCCTTCAATTCTCCATGATTCATGATGACGCCTCCAGGAATGGTCTTGGACATGGAAGACCAGGAGCTGCTGGATTCAGCTCCTGTCTGAGGACTAAATGTGTGTGTGTGTGTATATATATATATACAGTGTATATATATACACACATTTATATATATATACACACACACACACACACACTATAGGATATGTATACATATATATTATAGATTTCTTTTTGTATTATTGCTGTTTTACTACTATGAAAAGAATGTTTTTTGTGTGTTCCTGATTTTGGAAAACTAATTATTCCACAAAACAGGGAAAGAGGGCATCCATAAAATAATAAAACAATTCAGTGAACTCAAATTTTACAAAGAATTATTTTGTTCGTGTGAAGGACATCGTTTCTATGTTGTTAACATCTTTGCCCATCCCCCCCCCCGCCCCTCCTAGGCACACTCCCCCCTTTCTAGGGCGGGTTTGCCTACTCATGATAAGCATGTGACACATTGCAGGACTTAAAACAGAATAACCACTCCCATTGTGCAGCCGATTATGTAACTATTTGTGGCCATCAATAAAGTCACCAGTGATGGCTACCTTATCTCAATCAGTGTGTAAAATTTGCATTAGTCATGCCTGTGGTCCACTTAAAATCCAATTTAGGTGGTACACTATGTAAGCGCAGTAGTTAAATGCCTTTTGTTGGTGGACCAACAAAATGATTGAAAGGACAAGACAAAGATGGATGATGCTTAATTCTGAATAGGGTGGTACTCCACCCTAAGGACCCAAGTGACCTGATCGTGCTGGATTTTGCTGACAAGCTGGGTATTTGGTCACGTACCCTTCTCACCTGAGTCAGTCTGAGTCAGTCAGGCGCATTTCAAAAAGCTGTCACTAGATGGCAGCATTCAAGATGTATCTATGACAAGCTCAGCAGTGCTGGTTTCTGTTACCAAGACTTCAGCATCATTTTGAAGAAATGAACTAGTCAGATTGTCATTTGTTTATCAACGAACTGAAAAAGACTAACTTGTCAGATTAAATGTTTTTGAAACTCCTTGTGTATTTTTGCTACTCTTCTCAAACTTAAAACAAATATTTAATCTAAATCTAGAGTGCTTGTCTCCTGTGTGGAACTGATGGTAGCCATATTAATTTCCCAGAATGTATGAAGATGATTGAGGCGGGTCGTTTTGGTTGAAGGATCAGTTAATACTCCACTGTCGTTTACAGGGTCAACGTTCAAAATGAATTTATGTATATCTATGTACACTCACCTAAAGGATTATTAGGAACACCATACTAATATGGTGTTTGACCCCCTATCACCTTCAGAACTGCCTTAATTCTACGTGGCATTGATTCAACAAGGTGCTGAAAGCATTCTTTAGAAATGTTGGCCCATATTGATAGGATAGCATCTT